AAGGATGAGGAACTGAAAGTGGTGAAGATTTGGAAGTATCCAAGAAATGAGAAACAAGAGAATGAGAATCCTTATTCGGTGGAGTTTTGGAAGTATCCAAAAAAGGAGAAATGGGTGAATGATTATCCTTATATGGTGGAGATTGAGAAGAGTTGCTAGATGGAGATTTTGAAGAAGTTTGAGCTAAACCGAAAATGGGTAAGCTTGGAGATAGAGTTGGATTTTAGGATAACTGAAAGAAGTTAGACGAAGATAAAGATTGAGATGAATAGGGAGTCCAAACAGAGTGGCAGATGGCTGAAAAAATGTCAGATGGCTTGCTGAAGAGTCTAGTGGAGTGTGAACTGCTAGAAAAGTCCAACTGAGTGCTTCGGTGAAGATTAGGAAACGAAAAATATCCTTCATCAAACTGAACTTGGCGAGAGATGATAACATGCTTGCAGACTGGATTGAAACAATGGTATCCTTTGTGTAAATCATAATACCCAAGAAAATTCAAAGAATCGAACGAGAAGAAAGCTTATTGTGAGTGGTGGAAGTAATATTAGGATAACATGCACATCCAAATATTCTAAGAGAAGTGTAACAAGGGGGCCGACAATAAAGAAGGATAGATGATGAAAAATTCTGAAGTGTAAGATTAGGAAGAATATTCATAATATACACTGCCATATGAAGAGCTTCAACCCAAAAATTAGAAGGGAGTGAGGATTGAAACAAAAGTGTGCGCATCATATTAAGAATAGTGCGATGCATACGCTCAGTAACCCCATTTTGTTGATGGATTTGGGGACAAGCCAAACATAAATGAATGCCATAAGAATGGAGAAAGGACTTAAAAGAATTATTCACATATTCATGCCCATTGTCACATTGGAAACTTTCAATTGAAGCAAGATATTGGGTGTAAATCAAAGCATAAAAGAATTTAAAATGAGCAAATGCTTTAGATTTGTGGCAGAGTGGAAAAATCCAACAATAATGAGAATAATCATCCATGAATAATAATAACGATAACGAGTAAAAGATAGAACCAGAGAGGTCCAAAGGTCAAAATAAATTAAAGCAAAAGGTCAGGTGGAACGAACATGACATTCACGAAATGGCAAGCGTACATGTTTTCCAAATTGACAAGCTTGACAAAGACCCGAATCAATTTGTTTACAAGAAGAAGGCAACATGCCATTATTTAAAAGAAAAGACAAAACACGAGAGCCAAGATGACCCAAACACCTATGCCAAATCTGTGCAGACACCCTTGAAGTTGTAAAGGCAAACACCATGGAACCACCTCCATTTGGAGATTGAGGATAAAGAGAACCCGAACTATTGCACCTACGAAGTACCTTCTTCATCCGGAGGTCCTTGATAGAAAAATCGAAAGGATCAAATTCAATATTGCAATTATTTTCAGAAATAAATTGCTTGACAGAAAGAAGATTTTTTTGAATGTTGGGAACAACCAAAACATTGCCAAGAGAAAAGGAAGAATTGAGTGATTGAATATAAGATTGACCAGTGTGAGTGATAGGTAAAAGATGACCATTACCAGCTTGAACATGATCCACACCAATATAAGTAGATAGAGAAGTCAAATTACCTATGAGAGGGGTCACATGAGAAGAAGCTCTTGTATTCGGATACCAGGTCGGATCAAATGAATCATGCATTGGAGGAGCAGGAAAGGAAATAGAGTTAGTGTCGGCAACAACAAATTTGGAATGTTAAGGGCATTCACGGGCTGAGTGATAGAATTAAAAACAAAGTTGGCATTGAAGTGGGGGAGAAAGACATGAGGAATATAATGGAGGGTGAAAGGGAGGACAAGAGCCCAAAATTGAAGAACCATGACCCTGATAAGGGGGATGATTGGTGAAGGAAGTTGGGTGAAAAAATCGTTGACCATGATAGGGATTCTGACGAGAGGAACCAGATCGACCACGTCCATGTGAAGAAGAATGATCATTTCGATGATTGGTATGAGAATTATAGCCATTTGAACTATGAGAGCCACGACCTCGACCACCCTTACTACCGCAGGAACTTGATGAAGAAGAGGGATTGACACGGTTGGCAACAAAAGCAGTTGAAGAAGCGGAATTGTTGGTGATGGTAGCCATTTGTTGAAGCCGGATTTCATGAATAAAGATAAGGGAACTAGCCTCATGAAAGGAAGGAAAGGAATCTGAGTAGAGATGGTAGTGACTGTACTTTCATAGTCAGAAGGAAGACTGGCAAGGGCTTGCATAACCTGATCAGTGTCAGAAATCAGATTAGCAACAAAGGCAAGAGAGTCAGCAATGGATTTGAGTTGTCGGAGATAAACAATCATGGAAAGATCATCCTTAGGATGGTGATAAAACTACATTTTCAATTGTAGAACACGAGAATGCACTTGATCATGAAATAATTGCTCAATAGTGAGCCAGGCATCACGAGCAGACGGAGTGAAGTTTGGTTTGATAATAACATGAAGATGTCAGATGAAACGGTGGCTTGAATCCATGAAAGAACCATGTAATCAACCTGTAACCATTATTTGTATTCCAGATTAGGAATCTGGTTATTGGAATCATCAGTCAAAAATGGTGAAGGACTTGGAGAAGAACCATCAACGTGGCCATAAACATCATGGCTTTTAAGAATTGGAAGAAAAAGTTCACGCCAAAGTTAATAGTTGGAAAATCCAACACAATATAGATATAATTTTTTATATTGGAAATGGATTGGACAGGTTGGGAAAAGGAAGCAAATGGAATGGTACAAGTAGCTGTGAAAACAACACTTTTTCCCTCCCTACATTCTCTACCACAACCACTGTTGTTACTGCCAAGCTACACAAGGACAACTATCTCCTGTGGATAGCTCAATTAATTCCCTACTTCAGAGGTCGGGATGTTTTTGGTTGCATAGATGGTACCATTGCAAAGTCTGCCACCCATGTTGCTGTGACTCAAGAAACTGGTGAAACCACCTTTGTTACTAATACAACCTATTTACAATGGCTCAAACAGGATTCTGCAACCCTTAGCACTCTTTTTTCTTCACTCAATGAAAGTATTCTTGCACAGTTAATGCATTGCACTTCTTCTCGAGAGGTTTGACTTTCCCTTGAGCAATGTTATGCCTCTCAGTCAAGGGCTTGTACAGTTCAAATTAGAAGTCAGCTTGCCACTACCCGCAAGGGAAATTTATCTGCTACTGACTATTTTATACACATCAAACACTTGACTGATGAATTGGCTATTGATGGCCAACCTTTGATATGTGATGATGTTATTGCGTATGTTCTAGCTGATCTTGCATCAGACTACAACTCCCTAGTTGCCACTGTCACAACCTACGAAGACCTTGTCACAATAGAGGAGTTATTTTCTCTACGGCTTTCTTGTGAGTCTCGCATTAGTCACAACCATCCGACACTCTCAATTAATGGAGCTAGTGCTAATGTTGTCCAAAGATAATCATCCAACAATCGTGGTTGAGGTCGCAGTAATAACAACTACAAGCCTTGAGGAAGCTCCACCTTCAACTCAAACTACTCTTCTTATCACTCCAACAAAGGAGGTTCTAGCTACAATTCGCACAACAGTAGTGCCAATATTATCTACCAAGTGTGTGAAAAACCTGGTCACACAGTCAAGAAGCGTTTCCACCGGTTTGACATCTCCTACCAAGACCCTACTCCCAACCGCCCTCAAGCAATGATGGCTTCCAATAATCAGGCTATAGACAATGACTGGCATCCTGACACTGGAGCAACACACCACTTGACCTCTGACCTCACTAATTTGAATATCCGTAGTGATGAATATTCAGGCTCGAATCAGATCCATGTGGGAAACGGTGCAAGTTTGGCTATATCTCATTCTGGCTCCTTTGTTCTTCGCACTCCTTCCAAATCCTTCAATTTAAATCAAGTCTTAGTTGTTCCTGAAATCCAAAAAAATCTTCTTTTTGTACACAAATTTGCTAAAGACAATAATGTGAACTTTGAATTTCACTCTTCTTTCTTTGCCATCAAGGATGACTCAGGGAGCATCCTTCACCAAGGACATTTGCATGATGGACTCTATTGATTTTCACATCCCTTCAAGAATTCAAATGGATCAACCTTCGTCGGCATTCGTGTTCCAATTCTTGATTGGCATAGGAGACTTGGCCATGCTTCTTCTATCGTTGTTCAACAAGTTTTACTATCAAATAAATTTCCAGTTATTCGGAATAAAGAGCCACATGTTTGCTCAGATTGTCAATTGGCCAAGAGCCACTGTTTACCATTTAAAACTTCAATGTTTTGCTCTTCGAAGCCTTTGGAATTAATTTACTCAAATGTTTGGGGACCTAGCTCTATTCTTTCTACAAATGGCAATCACTATTATGTTAGCTTTGTTGATGACTTCACCAAATTTATTTGGTTATTTCCCCTAAAACAAAATCAGAAGTCGAAAACATTGTTATTCAATTCCAAAACTCTGTTGAAAGAAATTTTGATAGTCGTATTAAATCCATTCAAACAGACTGGGGTGGAGAATATTGTCGACTATCAAGATATTTCAAAGAAATTGGAATTAATCACAGATTACCTTGTCCCTATACACATGAGCAAATGGGGGCTGTTGAGAGACGAAACCGTCATGTTATTGAAATGGGTTTGGCTCTCCTAGCTCATTCCCATCTTTCTCAACAATTTTGGGAGGATGCATTTCTGACTGCTTCCTATATTATCAATAGGTTTGCCAACTAAAATTTTAAAAAATAAATCTCCATATGAAATGGCATATTCAAGAAAACCTGACTACACATTTTTTAGAGTTTTCAGATGTGCCTGCTGGCCGCGTCTTTGCCCTACAACCATCACAAAATTGATTTTCGAACAAAACATGCATTTTCATCGTTACAGTATATGTCATCATTGGTACAAGAGTCTTGACCTAGCCACTGGGAAAATCTATGCCTCTAGACACGTTGTATTTAATGAAAATCTATTCTTGTACACAATGTCGTCAAGTCAATCTCAAACTCCCAATTCCATCGAACTTGTTTCTCTTCCTGCTTGTATCCCTATTAATCAGACTTCTATGAGTCCACAAACTCCTCATGCAGATACCAACACAACTCTCACAAGGACTGAATCTTTGCACACTGATATCCACCACTCAGTGATGCCGGATTGTGGCAATCAACCTCCAGCAAGGGCTGTTGTGTCTGACGTTGCACTTCCTAAAGCTGCAACACACAATCATCAACCAGATACTGTTGCCACTCAAGCTCCACAGCAAGCACACTCCATGATGACTAGGTCAAAAACAAATTCCATGAAGTCGAGAGTCTCAACTGATGTCACAATTCGTTATCCTCTCCCTCGTGCACTTCTTGCAGCAAAACATCCCATTGACAAAGAACCAACTTGTTTTACAGAAGCAGCCAAATGACAATATTGGCGAGAAGCTATGAATTTCAAATTTGATGATCTTCTTCGAAATGGAACTTGGACACTTGTGCCTCCTAAACCCAACATCAATCTTATCGGTTGTAAGTGGGTATATCGCACTAAAAGGAAAGCCGATGACACTATAGATCAGTTCAAAGCTCGATTTGTATCAAAGCGCTACCACCAAAAACATGGAATTGGCTTTCATGAAACTTTTAGTCCAATGGTGAAGTTAGCAACCATCCGTCTTGTTCTATCCATTGTTGTCACATTGGTGGACAATCCGTCAACTTGATATCCTAAATGCCTTTCTTCATGGTTTGTTGCAAGAAGAAGTCTTTATGATTCAAACACAAGGTTACAAGCATCCAGAATTTCCAAACCATGTATGTCGTTTGCATAAAAGTCTCTATGGTCTGCGTCAGGCTCCAATGGCGTGGTTTTCGCGCTTCACAAAAAAACTTATCACGCTTGGCTTCACTGGATCAAAAGCTGACACATCACTCTATTTTTTTCACAAAGGTTCTCTCATCTTGTATTTTCTAATATACGTTGATGATATGATTGTGACAGGATCAAGTTCAACTCCTATTGACAGAGTTATTCGACTACTAAATGATGAATTTTCAGTCAAAGATCTTGGCAACTTAATTTTTTTTCTTGGTGTTGAGGCAATCTGTGTTTCTGGTGCGTTATTCATGATGCAAAGAAAATACATTGTTGACTTATTAACTCGGTGTAACATAGATCCCTCCACCACTCCTATGTCCAATTCATGCACCTTATCTGCACATGAAGGAGAATCATTCCCTGATGTTGAATTATACAGAAGTATTGTGGGCAGTCTTCACTACATAGCCTTCACAAGGTCTGACATTACTTTCTCTATGCACAAAGTCAGCAAGTTCATGCACCACCCATTACAACCTCACTGGCAAGCAATCAAGCGAATCCTCCACTACCTGAAATATACAGTTACTTATGGATTGTTTTTGAATTCACAGTCAAATTGTCTCTTACAAGCATTCTTTGATGCTGATTGGGCGGGTGACAAAGATGATCGACGGTCAGTTGGAACCTATTATGTTTATTTGGGTAAAAATCTTATTTCTTGGAGTTGTAAACAACAACAAATAGTGGCCAGAAACAGCACGGAGGCTGAGTACAAGTCATTGTCCAATACTGCAGCCAAGCTCAACTAGTTGCAATCTGTTCTTTCTGATCTTTGGATAAAACTCTAACAACCACCAGTATTATGGTGTGATAACATCGGTGCCACATACTTACCCTCGAATCCTGTATTCCATGCATGAACCAAACACATTGAAATAGACTTCCATTATGTTCGCGATCAAGTTCTTGCCAAGAAACTGCGAGTATCATTCTTGTCTTCAAAAGATCAGCTTGCTGATCTACTAATCAAACCATTGTTCTCATCACGATTTCACCTGCTGCGAACAAATCTTCAGCTACATGACCTCCCTTGTCGATTGCCCCTGGTGGGGCATTGAAGGAATCATTCAAGAGAAGTCTGATTCTTTAGCAAACAGTTTGGGGAAGATTAGGTCTCGTACAACTTCTGCTATGCAAATTTCTTTGAGATAATTCCAGCTGTCAAAATTCAAATGTTTAAAGATAGCCTTATCTTTTGTGAATAGTTGTATTCCTCTGTCTATAAAAGAAAGCATTGGAAAGTTAATAAACATGGCTCGGAAATATTTCTCACAAAGTCATTTTACAAGGTACGAGCAATTACTAGTAATTAAATAAAATAGCGACTCTATCATTTAATATAATTCAAAAATAATTGAACAAAACAAGTTCATACCCTTTCAGAAAAGAAATAATTAAAAAAAAAAATCAATAAAGTTCATTACTTTTCAACTTTAAAATTAAGGGAGGTGTATTACCATTAAAATTCCAAGAACATCGCATGTAATAGAAGTTCCCATATATAAGGTTTGCCGCCAACATATATTTAAGTTATAAGAATGAGTCTTGATTATTTACTGTCGCCGATTTTGATGGCAACAAGTCTTGACTATGTACTGTCGCCGATTTTGGAGTTATAATAATATTAGCCTCTTGCACAAAGCAAGCAGCTCGTTTCAACCATGGTTACCATTGATGGCAACTTGAAATTAAACGATAATCTCGATAAAAATTAACTATAAAATTGTAATATAAATTTTATTGGGTTCTAAATTTATAAATTATAGGCTCTAATACCACATGTAAGAATTTATTTAACGATTAGTATATGAAGTTTAGAACTCCTAAATTACAAGGTTTAGAACATACTTGTTAAACTATCGTATTTAATTTTCAGGTTTCTTCCACGAAAGGGCAAGTTGATCATCTCCTACTTCAAATCAATAAGCGGCTCTGAATGGGCAGTCAAATTAGGTTATGAAGTGGAAATGAGACTTAGCCTGTTATTTATAATGAATCTAATGGACTTTTTTATTACGGGACACAATTAAATTAAGGTCTAAATTCAACCACTTCAACCACATCAATTAAAGAGATGTACATAATCAGGGGTGTCAATCGTGTCATGTTCATGTGACCAACATGTCGTGTTATTTGTGTCAAGACTTACGAAAAAAAAATCTATTTAGTGTGTTCTGAATATTAAACATTAATCTAGACTATTTATTATGCGCATTTAATAATCGTGTTAATTTTATAATCGTTCGTGTCGAATTCGTATCAATAGGTCAGAGTTGATACCCCGACATACGTTCATCAAAATATATCACTTAATAATATATAGACCATAAATTCAATCCGTTTTTCATAAACTCAAAATTAACTATCAATTAATGAAAATCCAATATGAAAATATTCCAACATTATGGGGCTGTTTGATAACACACTTAACGCTTAAAATTGAATATTTTAAACATTTAATAAATTAAACTCGTTTGATAACCTAAAATTCATACTACTTATCACTTAATGTGGAAAATGTTAGTCAATAAATATTTTATTAATTTCTCATATACTCTCACCATCATTGTATCATCGCCACCACCACAAACACTATCACCACCACCACTCTCACCGCTGTCATAACTACCATAATCACCATTGTGTCAATGTCATCACCATCATCATCAACACTGTAGCTGCCGCCACTACTACCATTATGTCATTGTCACCACCACCACCTCCATCTCCACCACCGTTACCACCATTGCTTCGCCACCACCACCACTACCATTATGTCACTGTCACCACCACCATTGTGCCACCACTACAACCACTACTATTGTTGCTGTCACCACCACTACCACCATTTTGCTATCGCCACCACCACCACCACTGTCATTACCACCACAACCATCGTTGCCATCAGCATTACCATTGTGTCACTACCACTATTACTATCATTACCACCACCATTGTGATGTGGTGATAGAAGACAATTATGAAAAAATGGTTAAAGAGGATGTTAAAATTAGAATAATAATAATTTTCAAACTTCAAATTCTTATATTTATTAAACAATTTGATTAAATTCAATACTTAAATTTCAGTTAACACCAAATAATCTGCAACATTTAAAAAATTTAGCATTCAGTTTTCAGTTTTATTAAACACCACCTAAATCCTTTACATACTATCCAATTGTGGATGAATTGCCAATCCATTCCAGTTAGTTATACATTATTTAGTTCAATTCCACTACTTTTTGGCAAATTACATTCTTCCTGAAATTTTGTTGACCAAAATTATTTTAGTTTATTTCATTTAATTTCCTATTTTTCCTTTTTTGGGTCTAACGTTGACTAAGAAATCTTATAGTCTTGGGTTTATAAGATGCTATCTCGTTGTGCATGGCCTAACAAATCAGCTGATTGCAAAGAAAAAATTGTACTTTGACCACAATTATGAAACTTTTTTCACATTATCTCTTCAAGTGTTACATTTTGCACATTGTATTCTCAACTATGTATCACTTTCATACCGCCCCAAATATTAAAATCCGTTATATATTTGACAAAAAGTTGTTTCATTCTTTCCCCAAATTATATAATTTTTTTTTGTCCCATCATATCGGCAATTTCTATTCAAAAAGATAGCAAAAGTTTGCATTGGGAAAATGTGAAATAATTCAAGTAGTTGAGAGGGTAATGTAAAAAATTTAATAATTCAAGGGATAAAGTGAAATGAAGTTCATAGTTTGAGGGGTTAAAGTGTAATTTACCCACTGAAAAAATAAGAATATGTTGTCCATTTTTGGAGTCAAATTCCACCTTGCATGCTCCTCCACCTCAATTTTTATGGAAGGCATAAAAAAGTAATCGATTAAGGAAGCAAAATGGTAGCGCAGAAGAGAAAGACATCGAAATTTGTTTCTATTCATGGATTGATTGTTAATACTATATTTTGATATTTTTTTTTATTGACAGTTATCAAATTAGATCGCACAATTAATAGTATTGGATCCTTATTGTACCAATATATAGTGGCATATTGTGTTTCCCATCATCTCCCTTTCTTTTCTTTTCTTGTGCATGTAGGTTGTTAGCCTATATTGCTCTACGGTCATGAACCAATCTCTGTTTGTCTTGTTTTTGTAAGAGGTTAGACTTAGAATAACGTAATACATGGTGGGTTCAAGTCCAAGAACCAACCTCATCAAATATAAGGGTAAGATTGTCTACTGTTTAACTATCTCAACCCCGCTATCACTTAAATTTTCTTCTAATGGCTACCAAATAGTTTGATGCAAAATTTTTAAGAGAATCACTTAATCACACTTGAGCAACCTACCAGGACAAGCTCATGAGGGCATCGAGCTATGCAAATCGTCACACATCACTTCTGATAACACGAAATTATTTATTCATAAAATTTTTCCATTGATAGAATATATTTCATAGCAGACGCATTTTTTTTTCTTTGTGGGCGACTGGGTGTAGTAATGATACATTTTTTTTTCTGATGCATGAAGTTAACTGGAACCAGAATCCCCTCCTTATTGTAAAAGAC